TTAGACTGGAGGCCATCGCTCTCAGGGTGGAGGCCATCGCTCTTAGGGTGGAGGCCATCGCTCTTAGACTGGAGGCCATCGCTCTTAGGGTGGAGGCCATCGCTATTTGCTTAGTGTGAAGCCTGAAAGCCTGTGGGTTGCTTCAACCCATGAGACGTTCGAGGATAGCAGCTCCGAATTTGGCGCCAACTACCTGCAGCTCTTCAAGGATGCAAGGCTCAATAGTTCGAGCAAGTCAATTGTTTGACAATATTGTTCCTACTAGCTTCTTGTTACTACTAGTAAGGCACTTGTTACTAGAAGCGATGCACTTGTTACTAATAGCTTCTTGTTACTACTAGTAAGGCACTTGTTACTAGTAGCGATGCACTTGTTCCTAGTAGCTTATTGTCTTATTTTGTTCCTAAGTCAACCAGGGTCTTTGGAAACTCCTTTTTCCTGGTGTTCTTGTGGGTTCTCTTGGATTCAGCGTTCTGAACCAGCATGGAGTTGCCGCACCAGGTACATAGCGTTTTGAGCTGAGCGTGTTTGCTGGATGTGATGCTCTGCTCAGGCTGTCAGCCTGTAAGCCCAAGTGCACCCCTAGAGCTGATGTTTCAACTTTCCGACAACAAGAGGTCAATGATCAATTCAACCAACATCCTTTTCTTGCTTTGAATATCTTTGAATATGAGTAAGGAGGCCTTATGACTTTGTATCACAGTCTGCCTGACAGCTGAGGTCTGGGCTGATGCCGTCAGACAGCTCTCCACAGGTGAGGACGTCCTCGAAGGTGTTGCAACTGTACGAAATGACTCGGCTCAGGTGGCATCCTTTGCAAAGCTTTCTGCTTCGATGCTCTCCCAGTCTGGAGTTCTCAGTTGATTGAATGTTTTGAACGACACCGAACAGCTTCAGCATGTCTAGTGAATGCCGATTGTGTCGGACATGAGTAAAGCAACTTCACCCATCTGAGGTACAATCCCAAGCAGTTGGATGAAAGATGGGCGGCTGAAAGCTTGATCTCCAAGGCTGGGTGTGTGTAGCGTATGGCATCGGTTGCAGTCACTATCGGAGCTTCTCTGAGAATTACGTGCAACACAAAGACAAATTTGGCCGAAGCGGCTCAAGCTCCAGCCCCAGCACACCCAGCCTTGCTTTGGTAGCAAAGCTTCGTCGCACAACATGCCTGACATCGCCAAGTCAGACATCTCCCCCAACCTGGACCGTGACAAGATGTTCAACGAGCTTTGGTGGTTGAACTATTGTTTCTGCGAAGGGGTTGGCATCGGTGCAGTGGGCAACCCTTTCTTTGGAGGAGAAGCAGTGAATATTTGCTTACACTCCAAGTGCGAGATGACTGACATTGGTGACCCCTTTTGCTCCAACATCCGCGTTTGCTTGTGCCTCACGGATCAGTGCTCCCTTCCACCAGCTCCTGGCTCACCCATTTGTGTTTGCTTCAACAAAAAGCTTGCGGGTGATGATGGTTGGAGTGGACAGCAACTCTTCGACTGGAGCACGAACTTTGGCGACACCTTCTGGCTCTACTACATCTTCTGCATGGGTCTGGGCTTCTCTGCTCCTCAAGCCAATGGCCGTCCGTTCTTTGCTGTGCAGACCAAGGAGCTCTGCATCAAGGGTGGAACCAAGTTGGCTATGCCGATGGAGGGTGGCAAACTGTGCTCTGCAGTGAGCACACGCCTGTGCTTTTGGGATCAATGTGCAATGCCACCAGCTGAGGGAGCTCCAATGTTTGTGTGCTTCAACTTGCTGAACCCCAAGTCAGGTGCCAAGCCGCTGGCTTACGGATCGTAGGATTCGCCTACGGCCGACCTCTGGGCCGTCAGCTCGGACATCTTTTTAAAGGGCCGTCAGCTCCTCACGGACGGCCTGGTCGATCTGCGGTCCGGGTCTGTGGGTCTGCTTGTGTCCGACGTCAAAGGACAGGCGCAAGCAGCTCTGCAGACGCAGTCGAGGTCCGTTTTGCAATTCAATGCCCAAACCTTGCCACCTCAGAGCACTTCTCTCAAAAAAGAGTGCTCCAGTCTTTGGCATGAAGATCAGGTGCTAAATTGCGCCCTATCCAACTTGTGAGGCACTTTGAACTTGACCTTTCCATCGCAATTTTCGCATCGCTTTTCGCTTGGGAGCAATGTGAATTAGGTGGAGCAGCGCAGCGATGTCTTCACCACGGAGCAAATCCGTCAAATCACAAATGCCTTTGAGGAGCCGCCCAGCTCAGAACGGAAGAGGCTGAAGCGATTCGAAGCGGTGACACGTCAACTGAGTAGCTGAGGTCACTGGAAAATTCCTTTTTGCAGCAGCACTTGGAGGCAGATTTTGAAGTGGCCGAAAGTTTGCATCAAGCTCCATGAGAGTTCAGACTCCAAGGGTGGAGTGTTTGAGGCAGATGATGGCCAATTTGCCGAGCCCCTTCCCGAGGGTGTGTGAAGCTTGGAATTTTGGGATCTTTCGAAAGGATCAACAGGGGTCTTTCAATGCATTTTTGCATTGTGGCACAGATTGTGAGGCAGCATGGTTCGCCCCGCAACCATTCTGTTTGGGTCAAATCAACTGACACACATATACAAATGTAATCTACGTACATTCAATGCAAAGTGCCTGGAAGAACTGTCTGTAAATCGAGCCGAGACAGAGATGTTTAGCGGATTTTAGCAGGAGTTCACTGACACAACCCAACACAATACATTTTTGTACAAAGCCAACATGCTTCGGCAACCCCAAATTTGATGTTCTTTCTCGACTCCATGTATTTGGCCGGCTATGGGCAGTGTTTTTGGCCGTTCAGAATCCGCATTGTCTTCCTCCTTCCCAAGGTGTGGCAAACTTGGGAATTGGAGGAGGATGACTCAGAGGAGAGCTTTGCAAACATGGAGTGGGAGCCTTGAACCTTTCTTGCCAACTGCCCCACTGCTGTTGTATCTCAACTTGACTGCAATTTGCATCAACCCAATTGAGGAAGGGTCCAGCCTGTGTAACCGGAATCTGGCAACCTGCAGCATTGGTTCTTCGCTTTGAATTGCGACACACATGCTAAGTCTCTTCATCCTCGACCTTCCAACGACCCCAACGACCCAAGCGTCGAAGTCTCATCTCGTCCTCCGAGTTTCTCCGACTGGGCAGAGCTGGACCCGTGGGCACCCTCAGCACAGACCGCATCAGAACGGAAAGGACAACGGGAGAAAGGAAGCTACGAACGTAGCTCCTGGCATTACTACGAAAGAAGCTACTAGGGTGGAGGCCATTGCTATTAGGTTGGAGGCCATTACTACTTGGAACAAGAAGCTACTAGTAACAAAGGGCATCGCTACTAGGAGCAAGGACGCTACTATTCCACTCTGATCCCCTGGATTCTAAGGGGAAGGGGTTATAGCTTATGCGCTCACAAGCTTGTAATTATAGGGTCGGTCTTGGGGTCTTACTTTGCCTCGTTCTTGGTGACAGTTGTTCTCAGAGGTCAGAGACGGCTCCTGCTCTTCGCTGAAATGACTCGTCGGAAAAGATGTGGTCCTTTGCGTGGGAGTGTGCGGTGGGAATCGCATTGCAGAAATGGAGAAAACATCCTGAAGGATCAAGGCAAAGTAGCATCCCTCCACAAGTCGTGGGCTCGTTGTTTCACGGCCTTTGAATGGCCATTATCTTCAGATTAGTATTCAGATTTTGACTTCTGACACTTTCTGGTCTTGTTTTTGAATGTTGTAACAATGTTGTAGTTGTAGGGTAAAAGTCGGCTTTTGCTGCCATGATCTCGTTGATTGGCCTTTGCTGTGCCGGCTGTGCTGTGCTTGCTGTCCTAGTATGGCGAAGGCTGAAAAGAGGTTCACCACAGAAGAAATGTGGGATAATGTTCACTGGAACAGGGACTTCATCTGGTGCACCCATGATCAGGTGCGTGATTGGTGGCGAGGGAGGAGTTCCCGGATGTAAGTCTTGTAGCGTGGCAATCCGGAATGGCCGACGCGATCCCAACTGGCGAAATAACGTGGGATTGCTCATCAGATGGTTACATGCTGATGGGCGCTGGAGACACATTCAGATCGACTGTGGAAAGACCTTCCGCGAGTCTGTGATGACGTGGTACAAGGACCACGAGATCCATTATTTGGATGCAGTTCTTTTGACTCATGACCATGCAGACGCAATTTTTGGTGCTTGCCTTAGACTGCTATGAGTAACTTCTTTGAAAAGAAGATGAAGAGGGAAACCCTTAAATGCTGCGTAGCCTGTTTACCATATACTGGTGGGTTAGCGAAGGCTCGTATAGGCACTTTAGGCAGAGGCACTATACATGACATCTTAATCAGTTGGAGTGCATGTTCTTCTTGAGAAGACCACTTCTGCGTCTGAGTAGAAACAAGAACAAGCCTTTGCTGTTTGCCATTTGCTTGTGCATCCCGGCGTAGGCTCCACTTAGAACAAAGCTCCAGCGTAAGCAACCTTCTGCATGGCGTAGGCTACGGCGTAGGCTACGCACAGGCTTGTGTGCAGGATCCTGTGCAGTGTATAAGCTGCAAGCATCAAAAAAACACTACTCTTATGAGTTTGCTAACCTTTCGGTACACATATTTGTGGTGATTTAACATGCTTAGGCAAGCGTGTGTAGGCCCATGTTTGTGGCCATGTTGCGTAATACCTCTGGTGACCCTTGACATTCATGTTCTTAGTCACCGAAGGTCTGGATGAATTGCGACAACTGCAGCGCTATGATCCCGTGCGAAGACAAGTGCAAGGGCCTCCGATGCAATGTTACTGTGATGTGAGGACCATGCGCCACTGCCGCCCCTTGGCGGATGAGGGTCAGTGATGGGCGTTTGTGAGGCGCCATTGCTTTGTCCTTTGCTTTGTACCACTGTTTCTTAAGCCAGCTTAGGACGCGCCTTTCCATACTTGTTCGGGCATTTTGGCCAGAAAGAAGGGCTGATCGCTCTCTCTCGTGCTTGGTGCAATTGCACCGATGACTGTGATGTCGAATGCCAAGATCGCCAAGCCAACTTCCTGCCAGAGAAGCAGTCTCGTTTCGTCGCCGCGATCGACTGGAAGGACGGCCTGTCCCGTCAACTTGCGTCATCGTGTGCTTTATGTGTTCAATCAAGTTTGATATATCCAAAAACGGTTTGCAAACATGTCTCTCTCTCTCTCTCTCTCAGTTGTTTGGGCTACCCCATGGCTTTTTGACTGACGTGTCGTTCACTTATCCAAGCTTTTGGTTCCAGGAGATTCCAGAAGACACGTCGCCTTTTGAGGTGGACAATTTGAAGCTTCATGCCCTGCCGGTGCTGCATGGTGCAGACTACGTGAGCTTTGGTTATGGCTTTGGACCTCCGGGCTCGAGCAACTTGGGCTCACAAGATACTGTATAAAGCGGCTTGTAGACAGCTCTAGACTCAAGTTCCATGCATTTTGGCCACACTGTGTAGTAACAAGTGCCACGCTAGTAGTAACAGGTGCCTTACTAGTAGTAACAAGAAGCTATTAGAAACAAGTGCCACGCTAGTAGTAACAAGTGCCTTACTAGTAGTAACAAGAAGCTATTAGAAACAAGTGCCACGCTAGTAGTAACAAGTGCCTTACTAGTAGTAACAA